TGGTAACTAAGAGTTGGCAACTAGTTTATAGTTAAAAGATCAGCTACCAGAAAAACCTCAAATCATAACCCTATGTCAAGAGTTAGTATACAATATAGAAAAAGAAATTATCCAGACAAAGGGATATGACAGGAATGAGATCATTCTCATCAAATGGTTGGACTGACCTGAACATATTAATAGTTGTATAAGATTTGATGATTCATAACCTCTACATGGTGGAAAGTAGGTGAATGAAAATGGTTTTTAATTTGCACTACTCTCAGCAATATTTCAACATTACCTTTCCCCTGAAGCTTAAGGATATATGATAGTTGGGATTTAAGTAGATAGAGGCCCCAGAATGAGGAAATCACCCCTGAAGATGTCACCTTCTGGTATGGAGGGCCATACTCTCTAGAGGAGTAAGTATAATCTATCAACCATATATTGATATTTAGAAAAGAGCAAATTAGTTCAAGTTATGTTCTATGGTCCCCTCAGAATTTTATGTTGGGTCTTTTGCTTATTGTTAACCAAGAGAAAAGGTGAGAAGACTGCATGAAACTTTTTATTGTCAGGCCTGCAAGTAAGTGTATCCTGTCCACCGCATTGCTTTAGCCAAAATCTAGTCACCAGGCCATATCCATATTCCAGTTTGGGCTGGGAAAGGTAGTGGCCCCATGTGGAAGAGGAAATGGGATTGATAAGCATCTAACAATTAGTGTGAAAAAAATTGATACATATTAATATGCACACTAACTTGAAAAGATATCTGTAGCCCCATATTCATAGCAGCATTATTGACAATAGCCAAGAAATGGAAACAAACCTAAGTGTCCACTGATGGATGAATGGATAAAGATGTGGGATATAGATACACATATATATGTGTGTGTGTGTGTGTATATATATATATATATATATACATATATATATATATAAAATTAACTTCTTTATAAATATATATACAGTGGAATGTTATTCAGCCATAAAAATGAGGAAATCCTGTCATTTGCAACAACATGAATGGAACTTAAAGGCATTATGCTAAGGGAAATAAGTCAGACAGAGAAAGACAAATTCAATATTATCTCACTTATATATGGAATCCAGGAAAAAAAAAAAGAATAACACCAAACTCATAGAAAGAGATCATAATTGTGGTTTACCAGAGGCAGAGGTGGTGGGAGGGGGAATTGGAAGAGGGTGGTTAGAAGATACAAACTTCCAGTTATCTTATGTTTATCTTATATCTTATATTTATCCTATAAAGTAATAATACAGATACAATATACAGCATAATGACTATAGTTAACACTGCTGTATGGTATGTAGGAAAGATGTTAAGAGAGTAGAACCTAAGAGTTTTCATCACAAAGAGACATTGTTTTTTTCTTTTCCTTTTTATTGTATCTATATGAGATGGTGGATGTTAACTAAACCTATTGTGGAATCATTTTACAACATATGTAAATCAATCTATCATGCTATACACCTTAAGCTTATACAGTGAGGTATGCCAATTCTTTCTCAATAAAACTGGGGAAAAACATGCAAAAATATCCCCTATTTTTATTTTGTGGGCACTTGCAGTTATGGCTGTACCAACTATTAATTTTCAACCTTTCTGGATCAGATTGGATCTCTTTAATCTATAGCTTATATGTGGGTTTTGCTTTGTGATTCAATCTAAGAGTTTTCTCTTTTATAGTAAGTTTATTCCATATAAATTTATTCATCTGAGAGATGTGTTTGGACTTAGTTCTGTCAAATTATTTTATGGATTTTTTAAGTAGGTTCCATGCCCAGTATGGAGCCCAATGCAGAGCTTGAACTCACAACACTGAGATCAAGACCTGAGCTGAGATCAAGAGTTGGACACCTAACCAACTGAGCCACCCAGGCACCTCTTCTTCTTTCACTTTTTTAAATGTTTGCTACAGGTTTTTGTTTTTTCTTTGGTTTAGTTTTAAGCTTGTTTATTTTCTTTATAATAATTTCAGTGGTTTCCTTTTTTTTTTCCCCAGTGGTTTCCTTTTTAAAAGCAATATAATTTATCCTATGATTTCTATGGTTTGAAATGGCTGTTAGCCTAAACCTGTGTAATAATTTGGTTTTGTATTAAATTCTTAGGATGTTCTTTCTTTTTCTGAGGAAAATGTAAATAATGTTTCATAGTCTTCCAGCACTGATTGTTACTGGGATGAATGTCTATATAATTTTCTCTTCATTTTTGGAATAAGGTAAATTTTTAGGCTATTTCTTGACATTGACTTATTTGTGTAAATGTTTTCTTAGATGTTGTAAAACTGCTAAACAGTTTTCTAAAGTGTGCAATTTTTTAAAACGATTTTATTTATTTATTTGACAGAAAGATACACAGCGAGAGAGGGAACACAAGCAGAGGGAATGGGAGAGGGAGAAGCAGGCTTCCCTGTTGAGCAGGGAGCCCGATGCGGGGCTTGATCCCAGGACCCTGGGATCATGACCTGAGCCAAAGGTAGACGCTTAATGACTGAGCCACCCAGGTGCCCCTAAAGTGTGCAATTTTTCAATACCACCAGCAATGTTTGAGTTTCTGCTGTTTCACATCCTTGCCAATACCTGGTATTTCTAGTTCTTTTTATCTTGGCCGTATTAAATGGTATTTAGTCATTTGGTCATTTGAGTTTCAGTTTGCATTTTTTTGATGACTACTGACAATGAATACTTTTTCAGCATTTATTTACCAGTTATATTTATACAAAAATAACTATATAAAATATAATTATAAATATATATTACATATATGATGTATATTATATAATTACACACAAATATAATTTGAGATATATATATATATATATATATATACATATATATATATACATATATATATATAACATTTTCTCCCAATCTATGGCTTGCCTTTTCATTTTCTTAATGGGATGTTTTAAAGAGCAGAAGTTATCCTGAGAAAAGAACAAAGTAGAGGCATCATACTTCCTGATTTCAAGCTATATTATAAAGCTATAGTAATCAAAATTCTATGATACTGGCATTAAAACAGACGCACTGACTAATGGAACAGAATCAAGAACCTAGAAATAAACCCATGTGTATACAGCTCTATTTGACCATAGAGCCAGGAATACGCAATGGAGAAAAGACAGTCTATTCAATAGATGGTGCTGGAAAAATTGGATATTCCCATGTAAAAAAAATAAACTAAACCCTTATCACCTCTCACAAAATGAAGTCAAAATGGGTTAAAGACTTAAAGACTGGAAACCATATATACCTAGAAGAACACACAGGAAAAAACCTCCTTGAAATGGTCTTAGCAATGATTTTTTGGATATAACACTTAAAGCACAAGCAACAAAGTACAAAATAAATAAGCAGGTCTACATCACACGAAAAAGCTCTACAGAGAAAACAAAAACAAAGGAACAAAAAAAATTTTGATCAAAGTGAAAAGACAGCCTACAAAATGGGAAAAAATATTTGCAAACTACATATCTGACAAGGGGCTAATATCCAAAATATATAAAGAATTCATACAGTTCAATAGCAAAAATCTCCAAATAATCCAATTAAAAATGTGACCAAAGGAAATATACGAATGGCCAACAGGTACATGAAAACGTACTCAACATCACTAAAGGGAAATGCAAATCAAAACCACAGTATCACCTCAAAGCATAATCAAAAACATAGAGATAACAAATGCTCATAAGGATGTGGAAAAAAGGGAACACGTGAACTGTTGGTGGGAATGTAAATTGGTACAGCCGCTATGGAAAACAGTAAGGAGTTTCCTCCAAACCTGAAAATTAGAACTACCATATGCTCCAGCAATTCCACATCTGGGAATATATTTGAAGGAAATGGAAACACAAAAAGATCTGGACCCTTCTGTTCATGGTAGCATTATTTATAATAGCTAAGACACAGAAACAACCACTCATGAATGAATGGATAAAGATGCTTATAAAAACACACACACACACATATATACACACACATACATAATACAAACATACATACACATTCAGTGGAATATTCAGCCATAAAAAAGAACAAAATCCTGCCATTTAGGAAAACAGTGATAGACCTTGAGGACATTATACTAAGTGAGTATAAGTGAAGTAAGTTAAACAAAAAGGACAAATACCATATGATCTCACTTATATGTGGAATCTAACAAAACAAAAAACAAACAAAAAAAAACCCCTCCAAATTCATAAAAAAAGAGATCAGATTTGTGGTTACCAGAGACAGTAGGTCGGAGAGGGTGGGATTGGATGAAGGTGGTCAAAAGATACAAACTTTCAGTTATAAGATATATAGTAGTACGGATGTAATGTATATGATGACTATAGTTAACACTGCTATATGGTATGTTTGAAAGTTGTTAAGAGAATAAATCCTAAGAGTTCTCATCACAAGGAAAAAAACATTTACTTTTTCTTTTTCTTTTTTTTTTTTTTGTATCTATATGATATGATGGAAGTTAACTAACCTTATTGTGGTAATCTTTTCACAAATATGTAAGTTGAATCATGCTATACACCTTATATTTATACAGTGCTGTATATCAATTACATCTCAATAAGACTAGAAAAAATAAAAATACTGTTGCAAAACCTAAAATAATAACATTTCTTAAGACCACTCTGAAAGGAACTGAGACTGCAACTGTGTCAAAACAAAACATACTATAATACGGGTTTACACCTAGGAAATGGATAATAAAACAATCCTGAGTGAGAAGCACAGAAGAAGAAAGGCAGTTATCACTATGGGATCTTTCAGCACCTCTACAGTATCAAGCAAAGAAAAACAATTTAGTAAGGATAAGTTGGATGAGCACTGTAAACTAATAGCTGATAATTGAGAAGAAACTGGAAAGGAGAAGAGTAGGAAAGTCAAAATCAAACAATAAATGATGTTTACAAAAGAATAATAGATTTTAAATTAGTCCTAAGGCATATAGCTGCTTTCACATTCTACCTTGGGATGAAGTGTGGCCTTACCTTGCCAAATAGATTTTTTAAGTTCAAAGAGATTTCTTGGTACTGAGGATTACTTCAGGATGTCAACAGAGTCAGGATGATCTCCTCATTGATGCCTGAAATTTACATATTCAAACAATTACATCTCAGATCCCACATGCCCACTCTCTCAATAACCATTTGACCAGCTCCCCAGTCACTTTAATTCCTTATTTTATTAAATAATATATTAAAATTTACAAAAGACATTTAAAAAATTAAAGAGTTTTTAATTGTGATAAGTTGAGTATTTTTGCTTTTATGATGGGAGTTTTGATGTTTTATCTCAAAAATCTTTGTCTACCCCAGTTCTGTAATGATTTTCTCCTTGGTTTTCTTTTAGAAGTTTTATAATGTTTTAGCTATTGTGTTCAGATCTCTGATCCATTTCAAGTTAAATATCTGTATTTTTTGAAAATTAAATCAATTTTGCGTATCTGGGATAACTACTACTTGGTAATGATACATTATTTTTATGTATTACTAGATTAGATTTATAATATTTTGATAAGAATTTTTGCATCTACCTTCATAAGGGATATTGGTCTGTAATTTTATTTCCTTGTAATGTCTCTGTCTGGTTTTAGGGTATTGGGACAATGTTGGTCTCCTAAAATGAGTTGGAAGTATTCCATTCCCACTATTTTCTCAAATCTATATAAGGCTAGTGTCACTTTTCTTTCAATATTTTCTTAAATTTACCAGTCCTATCATGTAGGTCTGATGTTTCTGTTTTTGTTTTGGAGGTGGGTTTTTAAAAAATAAATTTCATGTTTAATGGAAGAGTTTTTTACATATATTTTTTTTCTGTGCCAATTTTGTTAATTTGATCTTTCAGATTTTCAATGATATCAATTTTAAGTAGTCAGTTTTTTTCACAATGTAGGTCATTATTTTTTTAATGTATATAAGCTCCATAGAGTTTTATCCTTTTTCATTCCTATCTTTGACATTTTTTAATCTTCCTTCATTTTTTCTGATTAGTCTAGCAAGAAGTTTATCAATTTTATTGATCTTTTCAAAGAACTAGCTCTTTGTTCAATTGATTTTTTCTATTTATTTTTATTTTAATTCATAATTCTATTCTTTGTTTCATTCCTTCTACTTATATTGGGTTTTTTTCTTTCAGCTCTTTAAAATAGAAGCTTAGATCATTGATTTTTAAATGTTTCCTTTTTTGTTTAGATATTAGCACTTAAAGCTATAAACTCCCTTCTAAGAATCACTTTAGTTAGCTGCACTCTACAAGTTTTGATGTGTATTCTCATTATAATTCAAAAATAATTTCATTTCATTTCAGTTCAGTTCAACATATTTTCTAAATTACCATGTTATTTATTCATTGAATCATGGGTTATTTAAAACTGTGTAGTTTAATTCTCAAATATTTAAGTATTTACTTACAGATAAATTTTGTTATTATTTCTAAATTTCATGTCATTGTAGTCAGAGAATAATGCTGTATGATATTGAGTATTTTACATTTATTGGAATTTTTGTGGCTCAATATATAATATATCTTGATGAATATTTCCTATGCACTCAAAAGGAATGTGTATTTTTTGTTGGATGTAGTTTTCTATATTTCAATTAGATTAAGCAGGATGATATTGTTGTTTATATCTTCTATAAACTTAGTGATTTGCTATCAACTTCTTTTATCAGTTACTGAACAGTGTTGAAATCTTCAACCATAATTATAGATTAATGTAATCTTCCTTTCAGTTCTCTTAGTTTTGGTTTCATGCATTTTGAAACTCAGTTGTTAGGTGAATACACATTCAGGACTTTTATGCCCTTTTAATGAATTGAACCTTTAATTATTATGAGATGACATTCTTTACTTTGGTAATACCATTTCACCTGAAGTTTATTTTTCAATATTAATATAGCCATGTTAGCTTTTTAACAACTAAAGACCTACCATTGTCTTTATATTCAAAGTGATTATTGTGCACACCATAAAGTTTGCCTTGCTTTTTTATCTAGCCTGAAAATCTCTGCCTTTGATTGGATTGTTAGAACATCTGTGTAGGTCCAAATTTCCATCCGGCATTATTTTTATTAAGTCTAAAATAACTTCCTTTATCATTTCTTATAGTGCTGGATTGTGATATATTTTCTTAGCTTTGTCTGAAAATGTCTTTACTTTGCCTTTATTTTTGAAAGATATTTTAACTAGATATAGAATCCGATTATAGATCTTTTTTTCTTTCTTTTAGTCCTTTGAAGATGTTTTTCCATTGCCCTTCAGCTTATATTGTTTCTAATGAAAAGTCAGTGTTAATTCTTATTTTATTAATTGCACTACAGGTAAAATGCCTTTTTTGTTTTTGACTCATTTAATTTTTTTCTTTGTCATTAATTTTCAATAATTTAAGTCTGTTGGTATGATTTTCTTGGTGTTTGCTAGTGACTCACTGGACTTCAAGCTGGTATGCATATACAACTTTCTTCAAATTTGAAAAATATTTGACTGTTATTTCATTAAAAATTTTTCTGCACCCCCCCCAACCCCGGACACCATCTATACTTAGATTACTTGATATTGTCATGCAGCCACAAGAATCAATGTGTTCATTTACTTTCAGCCCTTTTGCTCTTTGTCCTTTAGTTTGAACAGTTTGTTGCTTGCTATATCTTCAGTTCATTTATTTTATTTTAGTGTACAGCTATTAAGCTCATTTATTATTTTTGGTTTTTGTTTTTATTTGGATACATTTTTTAGATCTAAATGTTTCATTTTAGTTTTTTCATATCTTCCATTCCTCTCATTTTCATGTTTTCCTCTAAATCTTTCAAAATATTTACAATTACTATTTTAAAGAATGTGTCTGCTAATTTCATCATTATATTTATGGGTTTATTTCTATTAATTAATTAGACTTCGATTTATTAGTCACTTTTCCCTGCATGTGTAGTTCATTTTGGATCCAACACTAAATATGATTTTTATGTTGCTGACTCTGGATTTTTAATCTTTCTTTAAAGAATGCTGAGTTTCCCCATGGCATGGTTATTTCATCTATGCAAGTTTTTTAAAAAAGCTTTGTTCATGTGATGACAGAATTCTTAATATGGTCATAATCTAGCCCTGTTACTAAAGTAAGACCATTTGGGGATCTCTACTGAATGCCTTGATTGCTCAACAATGTTCTCCATTCTGGCTGCTCTAAACTCAAATAGGCCTGTTCATGCTCTCCCTTCCTGCTTTCCAGTCTGTAAACTGCCTCCATTTAGAGAAGTAGAATGATTGAATAACTAATTTCATTTGTTTTCCTTCTCTTTAAGATCCCCTTCTTGTACTGTTTTCCAAAGTCTGAAAACAGTTCTTTCCTACATTTTGTCCAATTTTTTTAGTTGTTTATGGTGGGAACACTAATGTAATACTTATTGTTTTTTTGTCTTTTTATTATAAAATTATAGAAAAACACATAAAAGAAAATGTGGCTTAGTGAATTACTATAAATACCTGCTATGTTTTCAATGTTTGTGTTCCCCTCCTCCAAAATTCATATGTTGAAATCCTAACCCCCAAAGGTGATGGTATCCATAGGTGGGACTTTGGATTAGTGCTCTTATAAGAGGTTCCAGAGAGCTCCCTGGCCCCTTCTGCTTACTGATGATACAAGAAGTCTGTGACTGGGAAGAAGGCCCTCATACTGGTATGCCAATGTTATGATCTTAGACTTCCAGGCTCCAGAACCGTGAAAAATAAATTTATGTTGTTTATAAGCTACCCAGTGTGTGGTATTTTGTTATAGCTGCCTGAATGGTCTAAGACAATACCCTTATAACCACCACCCTGGCCAAGAAAGAGAAATTGGTTAACCATCCTAGAAGCCTCTCTGTGTGCCCTTTCCCACTGACAGCCAGCCCCCTCCCACCCATATCCACTATCCCAACTTGTATGATACTCATTTCCTTGTTGTTGTTATGGTTTTTAAAATCATCCAAGTGGACATCCCTAGACACTATAGTTTAGTTTTACCCATTTTTTAACTTGAATTGTCTTTTAAGTCTCCTTTTGTATACAGGTGTTCCTGCCATCCCTTCCTTTACTATTTATCTGTTGAAGAGTGAGATGTTTGTCCTAATAATCTGGATTTTTCTGATTACATACTCATGGTATAATTCAAAAGGTTCTATTTTTTTTCTATTTCCTAAAAACTGTCTTCAGGATCTAGAAGCTTGAAAAAACTATATTTTTTATCCCTTTGGTAAAACTATAATCTCTCATCTGAAGGCATATGTAATTTGTTTTCGCTTAGTTTTGATGTTAGCAGCCATTTGTGCTCAATGTCTAAATTAATTAACTCATTGGTATTTATAAAATGGTGATATCCTAATGCTTTTATTAGCTGAAAAAAGTTAGTAAGAAGACATCCCCTCATTTACTACTTATCAAGTGGTATGGTTCATTTAGGAAAGGTGAAATGAATGCTTGCTTCTTTTATTTATGTTTTAAGATAATTTGTGACTGTATTAGTTTTCTTTGACTGCTGTAACAACCACAAACTTGGTGCCTTAAAACAACATCTATTTATTCTCTTATAGTTCTAAAGGCCATAAGTCTGAGTCTTTTGGGGCTAAAATCAAGGTTTCAGCAGGGCCACACTCACTCCAAAGGCTCTACTGGAGAATCTCTTTCTTTTCCAGAGATTAAAGCTATTTCTTGCATTCCTTTACTCATGGCCCTACCTCCATCTTCTTCCTCTGGACTGTTTCCACCACATGGTCTTCTCTGTTGTTAGTCAAATCTCTCTCTGCCTCCCTTATAATGATACTTGTCATTATATTTAAGAGTTCCCTGGACAATTGGGGATCTCCCCATCTCAAGATCTTTAACTTAATCACATCTGCAAAGACCCTTTTTCCACATATAGTAAAAATGGTAAGAACTGAATATCTTTAGAGACCTGTCACAGTGACCAATGAAGTCTTTTAAAAATACTGTTTAATGTTATGAAATTGCAAAATTAAACATATTAGTTTCATCCCATTGTGATTTTTATACATCTATTGCCAATGGGGGCCTCAATTTGACTTCTGAATCCTTATGGTTTCCTCAAAAAAA